AATTGGGTAAAACCTATAAAGAGAAACACGCTGGCGCGCCTATTTTCTTGTAATATATGGGCGTTGATAACTCTGCTTGTTGATAAGCATTACAAACTGACTAGGAGAGGAAGTAACAAAAGGTATATAGTAAGGGATGTGAGTATGTGACCAACTATATATTCATATTCTGACCCCCAAACCAGAGAAGATGGCTCGTCATAGACTCCAATTGAAAGGATCTCACGAGTATGCGTGTGATATACGTACATATTTAATACTTGATAGAATATACAACAATAACTAATGTACTATAACTTTTTTATTTATGTTTCGGGGAAAATGTGGACTATATATGTCTGTGTTCGACATAAATTGAAAAGGAGAAAATTAGAAAAAATACGTAAAGCGAAGTGAGCTATTATCGTGTATTAATTGAGTATTAATTATTTTAAATTTAAAAATAAATTAATATGATTTTTGAATTAACTTTTATATAATTTTTGAAAGGGAGGAACTTTTCAGTCCAATATCAGTCTCTCGAACACAGCCTGATGATATCAACCTGATAGAGGGCCTGACATGAGGACAGCTTCCTGCCTGAGTCATTTTGCACAACACACCTTCAACTTTATGAAGCTCTTCGCTAGTTCGATTGCTACTTGACTTGCTAAGTTCTTTTTTATGTACAGTCCAATTCTTTTGGTTAAACTACCAAATCTTATCCCCCTTGTTAATTAAGTTCAACGCAACAATTTTTCTGCCATTACATTTAAAATAACAAGTTGCTTAGTGCCGTGTCACTGTCAAAAGAGAACTGCAAATCCAAATTGAAATTTAGATGTGAGATTATTATTTTTATTAGTGAAATATAATTGGTTCAAGGACCAAGGGGGTTTTCCTTTTTTATTTCAGGAAAAGGGATTTTTCCTTGAGAATTATTCAACGAGAAAGAACTAAACAAGTTAGGAAGACACGTGTGGGTGACTGGGTGTGGATGTGGCTGTGGAAGTGAACCCGTCGAGTAGTCAATTTCTCTGTCAAGGTTTAAATTCTAATGCTTACAATTAAAGTGTGCTCTCACAATAAGATTTCAGTGAAACCTGAGATTTACAATTAAAAAAGATTTATCACCGATTTTCATTTCTTTACGTGTATCATTTTTTTTCCTATTGTCTACTTTTTTGTTGTATTATGCCATGCCACACTACTTACCGTTAACATATTAATATAGTTTTTCTTATTGTAGTTTTCATGAAAAATAAGGTGTACAACTAGTTGTATTAATTATAAATGTTGATTTGTTGTTTTAGAAAAATAATGAGCTACATCTTTTTGTTGATTTGAGAAGCTCAGATAGATTGTTTTTATGTTCCGATTAATATTCATTACCATATTTGCTCTGTATACCTATTCAATAATATTGAATTATATTTTCGTATCTAGGGTTTTCGATTCCGAAACTAATATGAAAACGGAAATGATATATAAAACTAGTTTCCATCTATTTCCAAGCCGTGAAGTCGTAGAGGCAATCTCTTACTAATACTAAAGTTTTAAATTCTAATAATTATAATCAAAGTGTGCACAATAAGATTTCAATGAAACCTGATATTTATCACTGACTTTCATTTCTTTGCGCACGTGTTAAAAGGTGTCCAGTGGTGTGTGCGTATGCATCAGACGTATATCATGAGAAAGAAAAATAATTAAATATGTTATCCAATAGGGGAGGTGAGACTTGAGAGGTGATATCTGATTATCCATTGCATGCTCCCACCCTAGGCCTGCACACCGAAACAAACCAAATCTAGCTTGGCCCATTTTCATCTATAGTGAACTAAGCTTGTTCTGCTCCATTTTGAAAAGGTACGAAGGGAAAGATATTAAGGAACAAGTTGATATCAACTTAATTAGAAAAAAATACACAGAAGTATGGATCGAAGAGGCAATTGTTTTCATTTTCATTTGAAAGGATTACTACTATAAAGAAAAAACAACATAGATAAATTCTTTGATTTATAATGGCCATAATGAGAGGAACAAGTTTATATGAAAACTGAAGATGTCAATTAAGATTAAGATTTTTATATGGAGTTTTTCAAAGGAGCGATTCTAACCAAGAATAATTTAGGAAGAAAGAATTGGAACGAAAGTCAAAGATGTTGCTTCTACATGTTGAAGCTTAGAAGTTATGATCATGCAGATTTTTGCTAACTTTGGATTGAGATTTCAGATAGACTTTAATAATTATTTTCTCCTTATTTGTTGGTTTTTGGTATTATTCAGTTTTTACGATGTTGCCTAATTGTTTGCTCTCTGAGAGAATATTGTAATAAGTGGTTGTAGCTTCTTTGAAGCAAATGTCGGGATTTATTCTATTATCTAAAAAAATGTACTTCCTCCATCCCATAATATAAGGGATTTTAAGTTTTTCTTACAACGTTTGACCACTCATCTTATTTAATTTTTTTCCAAAGATAAAAACGAAAAGTTTTGCTTAAAGTACCGTAGATAATAAAGTAAATCATAAATAAAATAAATAATAATTTCAAAAAAATTTGAATAGGACGAGTGGTCAAACGTTGCAAGTAAAAACTCAAAATCCCTTATATTATGAGACGGAGGGAGTAGCATAACAGGGTCATTCATCCTACAAATATGTAGTAGAATATCGTTTTTATTAGAGATAATCCATGAAATACCATTGACAAGCGTCTAAGTCCCAGAAATACCACCGACAAGAGTAAGTTCCAAGAAATGCCATCGTATAAACGATTTTGTCCAAAAAATGCCACCGTCGTTAGGGTTCCGACCATTCCACGCCATTAAGTTCTATAGGATGAACACTGTATTTAACGGCACGGAATGGATGGAACCCTAATGGCGATGGTATTTTTGGGACAAAATCGTTTGTACGATGGCATTTCTTGGAACTCACACTTGTCGATGGCATTTCTGGGACTCAGACGCTTGTCAATGGCATTTCATGGATTATCTCTTTTTATTATCCCCACACACACCCTCCACGTTACGGTTTGATTCCTATGTCATACCATTTCAATAGAGAGGAAAACTTATATCAAGATAGGATAATAGCATTTTTAACCTTCTTTATGCTATAACTAATAGTTAGATAACTCTGTGTATGAGCTAAGTCACCAGCTAAGTCAGAGTTGTACTATTGAAGAACCTTGTTTGAGACGTGTTGGGCACTATTTTTCTAGGACCCACCTACTCCTAGTGAATGGTCAAGCTTGTTACATGCATAAAAAGTAAAGTGTGACATGTTTGGAAAGGCTTCAACTTACTCAATCTCTTTTGGAGCTAGAGGCGGAGCCCAATCAAACGGTTTTACCTTCACAATGAAGGGGGATAGACTTGAGTGATCTGATACAAAAATTGAAATAGAAGGGTGTGGCGGGGTTTGGGTTGTTCCATTGTTGTACTATAGACTGTACTCTCCACTCATATAAAGAGTTAGATTTAGAAGTTAGAACTTTGCCAAATAGATCTTAAAATTGTATATTAGATTCTATCGTAAGTAGCTTGCACTAAAACACTGGACTTAAGTAGTTTTATTAATACCCTCATTTACGTTTTCATATGTGAAGAATATAAACATTTTAGGGAACCTCTTATAAATGCCGGTGTATCTTACCCGACAATCTAGTCGATACTATGTAACCCTGTGTTAAAAATTTAAGATAGATAAACCGCACTATAACTTTAACAAAATACCTCGACAATCTACCAGTTTTAAAACTTATGGCCTTTATGGTTTGCATATACCTTGTAGGAAATAATATTTTTGAGAACGAAGACAAATATCAATAAAGAGGAAAACTTATATGAAAATAGGATAAGAGTATTTTTAACACTCTCTATGCTATAACTAATAGCTAGATAACTCTGTGTACGAGCTAAGTCACCAGCTAAGTCAGAGTTGCACTCTCGAAGAACCTTGTTTGAGATGTGTTGGGCACTATTTTTCTAGGTCCCACCTACTCCTAGTGAATGGTCGAGCTTGTTACATGCATAAAAAGTAAAGTGTGACATGTTCGGAAAGGCTTCAACTCACTCAATCTCTTTTGGAACTGGAGGCAGAGCACAATCAAATGGTTTTACCTTCATAGGAAGAGGGACAAACTTGAGTGATCTGAAAAAAATGAAATATAAGGGTGTAGTAGGGTTTGGGCCGTTCCATTGTTGTACTATAGACTGCACTCTCCACTCATAGAGTTAAATTTATGAGTTAGAACCATCTTAAAATTGTATATTATATCCTATCGTAAGTAGCATGCACTAAAACACTGGACTTAAGTAGTTTTATTAATATCCTCATCCACGTTTTCATATGTGAAGAATATAAACATTTTAGGGGAACATCTTATAAATCCCGGTGTATCTTACCCGACAATCTAGTCGATCTTATGTAACCCTGTGTTAAAAATTTAAGATAGATAAACCATGCTATAACTTTACCAAAATACCTCGACAATCTGCCAGTTTTAAAAATTTGTTAAAAAATTCCAAAGCATTGACCACATCAAACATGCATGCTACCATCTTCCTATTGGAAGGCATGACTGCACAAGTGTAGTGTTTTATCAACACCAATAAAACCAAATAAACAAAGGAAAAAAACAGCTTCATATGACCTAAAAAATTTCTAGATTTTACTTGGTTTTGTATTTGTTCTCTTCTTCTTCTAAAATCTATGAAGATGTAGAACAACATATAGAGTCGCCATGGTTACATCGGAAGCAATCGCGAAGAAAATTAAACTTTATCAATTTTAATGGTAATTTTCTTTTTATCTTGGTCTCTTTTTTTTACTATTTTTTCTCTTAAGATAAGAACAAGGCACAAGATGTCTTTATTAAAAAATTAAAAAAAATTCTGACCGTAGTGCGACTTCTTCGCCTTCTCGCCGGCGACGTCGATCCGCCGTGGGCGATGGGCCCCACTTTGCGAATAGTCAACGAGCCACCAACAATTAATATAAAAACACACCCCCCACACGGCCGCGAGTCGTCCGTACCCAAAATTGCCAAAATCACCCTCCAATTCCTTTCCCCTCCTCCCTCCCCTCTGCCGCCATGGCCGCCTCCTCCTCCTCCTCCCCCCCTTGACCCACACCACCAATCGCCCCAAATCCATGAGACTCCCCGCGCCACAATCCAGCCCTGCCGCACGAGGATGTCCCAGTCCGACGTTGTCTACAGGTGATTCCCCGCCTCCCTATCCCCCCATTTTTTTCTTTTCTTTTCTTGTCCCACTCGCAGGATATTCTTGTAGTCGCAGGGTTCGTGAGACCACGGATGGTGGAGAGCTAGGTTGCTTTCTAGGATTCTCGCCATGTTCTTTTTTATATATATTATTGATCTTTGTGGTGGGAATCTTGGGTGTCCTGGTGATATCGGAATCAAGAACCTGAGAGGATATAGAATTTGGTGGAGTTTGGGTGAGTTGGGTAGGTTTGGTTCTGTGTGCTGCTTTGTCTTCCATGTGAAATCTAAACCTAGTGAGAAAATTTCGAGGTTCGGTAGTGAGAAAAATTTGAAGTTGGATAGTGATGGTAGTATTGCAGATTGGGATGCTTTTATTAGAGTGTTACTTGGTTTTCTTTTCTTAGGGTGATGTGCAGCAGTTGGGAGTATCTGTTGGGTATATTGTGGTTAAGTCTGCACTGTCGACAAAGATTCGTTATGCTCGAATTTTAGAGCCTTATTATTTCCTACAAGGTATAGTGAGCTCTCCAATTCTCCGTGCAGTGCTTTCACGCGTTATCACACTTTTCAGGGATTCTGCTTGCGAGATTCTGTTATTGACAATTTAGTCGAGCGTGTTGCACGTGTACTTGCTGGCGCTGCCATATGAGATTGAAAACTTTGTGTTGTCGCCGAGTCAGACCTTTATGTCCCAAAAGCGAGCTAAAAGTGCAATGCAGCCACTCTAGATCATTGGATCTTGCACTGGCATGCAAAATTTACCGCGTTTAAGAGGCGTTGCTTAACATACTTGTGTGTATTTTCTGAGTTCTGAATTGATTCTGCTTGTTTAGGTTCCAGTGTTCTTGAACAATGCCAGCTATGTTAGTTTTTACTCCCTCCGTCCCAAAATAGTTGTCATTTTAGGATTCAAATTTTGTCCGAAAAAGCTTGCCACTTTAGTGTAACTTTTATTGCATCAATCACCTCCGATTCAAAATTTTCTCTATTCTACCCCCAATTATCCTCTTACTCCCAACCTTATATCATTTAATATTGGGCACTATAGTCATTTTTGCTAAACCTTAGTTTTTGCTAAACAACTTAAATGACAACTATTGTGGGACGGAGGGAGTATTTTCTAGCAATGAACAGTCAAGTATTGACTATTCTTTATATTGGTGTGATTTTTTTTATTAATGTTGAAATGCAAATATAGTGATAAATGGAAGTCATGTTAAAACTAAACATATACAAGTTGTATTAATAGAAACTCATATCCATTTTTTGTGTAGTAATAGTATCATAGTATTTAGCTCTGTTTCCTATAAATACATTGTTATAAATCTTATTCGTGTTCATTTTGTTTTTACTAGCACTGAGATGAGATGAATTTTCTGCTTGTGTGTAGGAGGTAGGAACACTTGTTCATATGTCCCATGATTTTGCTGGCAGTCTTGAATTTCTCAAAAGTGCTTTATTCTGATACCACACTACCACTCACCTTATTAGACCGTGGCCGTTGGAAACTTTGACATCATTGGTGCATCTTATTTTTTCGACTATGTTATAAATCACAAATTTATGTTATTGCTGAGTTGCTTATATTATCCAATACAAAAAATGTTTACAGCCATGCACTTCTTTATTTCTATATCCGCGGCAAGACAAAGCATTTAGGTGGAATAAAATCCAACTAGAAAAGTAATTGTTGTTAATGTCTTTTACAAACATTCCATCATCACAACTTTATTTTTTCATGTGCAAAATCTGCTACCTTTTATTTGCTGGGGTTATTGCGAGTATCAATATAGGTACATGAAATTATCTAATTACTTCTTTGTTCTTGTACTCACTTTAATTTGTTTCCTAATTAGAAATCCTTTTGGCTATCTTATTAGATTTAAATCTTAGCCATAGAGATGACCCCCCCCCCTCCCAACACACACACACACAAATTCAGAACTTCTCGTTCATTTTTATTCTATTATTTTATCTGTCATATAATTTCAAGAGAGTATTAAAAGGCAGATATGATTTTCCTGATAGTGGACAGTCTGGTACCTCCGTTTAACCTTATTTCATATAATCAACATTGCACTACATACTCTACTTGATTTATGATACTTGCAATGGATTGAAAATTTCTTTTAGTGTAACAGTACCAAATTTGCATAATAGTAGCTTACTCAATTTTCAGTTATTCATGTAATGTTCATATTTCTGGTTTACTATTCTGGAAACTGGATTTTGTATACTTCTGATTATTAACTGCTAAATACTAGCTTTGAATGATATATCCTACCTTTTGGCAAATTTTTGACTATTTTTCAAGGCTTTCCCCTTTCGCCTGGATGACTTTCTGACAATATTTACATGTCTATTGGCAGCTGCGGATCTTGTGGATACCCTCTGAACCTTTCATCTTCTAACCGAAGCACATCTGACGTAGGATCCTCATACCAAAAGTCTGTGAAGAAAGGTCTGATTTCATTCATTACTGTTGATCTGAGCCGATTTACTCAGGTAGACGAGATATCTTGCTTTCCCCTCACCTGGCGTAGCTATCGGCCAAAAACTAAGCTTCTCTGCCGAAAGTGTGGGGCATCTATTGGCTATGGGTATGGTGAACCAGCTGTTCTGTGCAGCTTTGATCCAGCCAGTTCATCATCTAGTACATCCCAAAAGTATTTAATAAAAATCCAGGCTCTCCAGCCTTCGGATAGTACTCAGTAGTCTGTCAACTTCAGCCAAAATTTGGAAAGAGAGGAAATGGATGACAACGTGGAAAACTATATCAATTTCCTATCAGATGATTGCTTGATTTGTATATTTAACAAGCTTGAAAGTGAATCGGACAGGAATGCTTTTGGCTTAACTTGTAAGAATTGGTTTAAGGTTCGAAACATTGCCCGGAAATCAATAATTTTCCATTGTTCTTTTAACCCTAAAGTATATAAGGAGCACGCCAATTGCCTTTCAAAGTTATTGGCCCGCTCACCTTATCTTAACTTGGTCTCCCTCGCTGGGCTTACAGAACTACCTGACACGGCTTTAAATCAGCTGAGAATTTCTGGAGCATCATTGCAGTCCCTTTCTTTCTACTGCTGCTCTGGTATTACGGATGATGGTTTAGAGGTGGTCTCAATCGGATGCCCTAATTTGGTGAGTCTTGAACTCTACCGCTGCTTTAATATTACAGATCATGGTTTGGAAAATCTTTGCAAGGGCTGCCATGCTTTGAAGAGTCTTAACCTGGGTTACTGTGTAGCCATTTCAGATCAAGGGATTGCTGCAATCTTTAGGAATTGCCCGAATATTTCCACAATTATCATAGCATATTGCAGAGGTTTATCCGGTGTTGGATTCAGAGGTTGTCCAGGTACACTTTCTCATCTAGAAGCTGAGTCGTGCATGCTTTCTCCAGATGGTTTGTTGGATGTAGTGAGTGGTGGTGGACTGGAGTATCTAAATTTGTACAATTTGAAAAGCCCAACTGGACTTGATGGCCTGGACAGAGTTGGTTATGCGAGAAGTCTTCGGTTTTTAAACCTCAGGATGTGCCGTTACCTTACCGATGATTCTGTGACGGCAATAGCTAGCGGGTGTCCATTGATTGAGGAATGGAGCCTCGCTGTCTGCCATGGAGTTCGCTTGCCTGGATGGTCTGCGATTGGATTGCTCTGCAACAAGCTGAGAATCTTGCATGTTAACCGTTGCCGAAACATTTGTGACCAAGGTTTGCAGGCTCTAGGGGATGGCTGTGTATGCCTTCAAGTTCTGCATATCCATGGATGTGGCAAGATCACTAATAATGGTCTGGCATCATTTAGCATTGCTAGGCCCAATGTGAAACAAAGGGCTGATGAAGTCATGTGCATTGGCCCCTCCATTGAGGATTTATTCCGATTGCAATGATCAGAAACTCAGAAAGTTTCAGCTAAAGTTTGGGGTTGACAAGATTCAAGCCATTGCCACCAGCATTGTCATTACAAGTCACAAGATATTTGGTTCTGTAACCATTATGCCCTTCTAATTTGCTCAAAAGTGCATACTTATTTATTATAAACAGGACCACAAATATACAAATGGATTGCGAGGAGTCAAGTCCATTTGTTCCTGTGGTTATTTGCAAGTTCTGAGTTTATTGGGTGATACAGAAAATGGTTGTAGAAGGTTGTTTTTCGTACAATTTGATAGCTAGTTTAAACTTGTAAATTGACATGTTTTAAAACCATCGAAAATTGAATTGGATGGGTTGGTTGTACTACAGCGGTTGAACCGGTGTTTAAACTTTCCGATGGATTGTATTAGGTTAACTCGAGAAGTTCAACTATCAGAATGCCACCATAGCTGAAAACAATTTTTAAGTTTTGATGAAATGTAAACAAAGAAAATCCTGAACTTGTTGACCAATCGAAGTTGTTGACGAATGATTTAGCAAACGAAATACAGTGGCGTACACTCAGTTGGGACATTATATGTTCAGATAAACAGGTCGATCACCGTAGATCCAAATCCGCAGCGTTCTTCAACATTAAAAACTAGTGAAAAAGCAAAATTTGCAAACATCCTTCGACTCTATTGCACCGGGTTTCATAAATATGTACATGTTTCAAAGCACCATACTGTGAATATTCAAGATCATAAACCAAAACTAGCACCTTAGCTTTCCTCAAGATACCTACGTCCTTTTGTACAATTACTCAAAATAAGTAGAACTCCACGATTGGTTTCTCATTTTTTGCATTTGTAGTAGTATCCTAACCTATGGACGTAACATGGAGCAGCTACCTGACGAACTTCCGATAGGACACACAACATCTTGCACCTGAAGCTTCAAGATACGCAACCTGGTGGTGTCAAGTATCTCGAGGCATTCCTGGAGATCCGCATCGCTCGCTAAAATCACCCAGTCACCCTCATCGTCTTTGTACTTGAGCTGAAATAGGCCAATTGACAGTTTCAGCCTCTTCGCTATTTCCTCGAGCAGCTGCTCGTATTTCATGGATGGTAGCAATTTGAACCTTATGGTGTCATTCTTGTAGCTCGCCTTTACGACGACGGTTTTGTTGCTTTCGTTAGCTGACTGACTCTTGATGCTCTTGAAAGTTTCGCCGCTTGATGTGGAGCAATCTGTCATGCTGGAAGAGGACGGTAGGCTTTGTTTGGAATTCTTATTGCTCTTGTCAGTCTCACTCTCCATTCTGTATTCTTGTGGCGCAGAAAAAGAATCCCTTGATGATGGTTTGTGCTCCAGTCTCTCCGTCCTCGTGCCAGTTTTCGCAACACAAGTCATTTCCCTTGCAACATATAAACCATTTGGCATATCCTCACAGAATGCCCCACTCAATGTTCTGGTAGAATGTGAGTTTCGAAATAATTCTCCATCGTCCATGTCAAAATTAATTTCACCATTTTGCTTATTCTGCAGTTTGTGGAGTACATCTTGGCCTGCATGTTCTCTTCGATATGCATCACAGTCAGGTTCGAAGTTCAAATGTGGAAGTTCAGATTCAATAGGTAGGGGATCAGAACCTTTGTGTTCAACATTCATCAATACAGGCTCTATGGAAGGGGAAACAGATGAAACAAGGCATCCAGTGGAAGGATCATATTTCAGCACTCCCTCGACTCCATGTACTGAACTTATGACGTTCTGGATCTTCTTTAGGGATCGGTTTACCTTCTTTATCTTACGAGATGGCCACCTTGATATTCCATGTTGTCTGCATATCCTTTTCAGCGTAGTAGGACAAACTGCAACGTAACAGCAAGGAATAAAAAAAATCCTGTAAGCTCCTCTTCCTATGACACAATTGGATTAGTTTGTTTCTACATTTGTATTAGCAGTAGTGCTTTTCATACAAAACAGAACTAATTTAGTAGGAATTAATTGAATTCTATAAGAATAAATCAGAAAAAGATCATGAGAGTATAAACAAATTACCACCAATACTCTTTGCAGCATCTTTCAGGCTGCCAGAGAAGTACTGCTGGAGGACACTTAAGCTAACACTCTTCTCTGTTGAGCTGCGTCTTTTCTCTCCGTCGGATGCATTGCTACACTTTATTAACTTCAAAAGAAATAAATGGAGATTAGACAATATTTTAAGTGGTTAAACTACAACTTTGTGTAACATGAATAACACAATACGGAATTTACAGGATATATAGAAGTTTCTGGTTGTTTAGATGCTGATTATAAATTGAAAAGATTGGTTCCGAGGTAACTTCTTACAGGGCTTAAATTTCTCAATTCCAAAGGCGTTGACAAGTAAGCTATTTTAAACAGTAATTACTTAAGTAGCATTTTAGTTGTTCTCTGTAACATTTGGGACATATTTATTGAAGTAAAAAGCAAGAAAATAACACCAGATGATGCAAAGAGATCAGATCTATACAGTTAAATTGCAATGCAGCACAAGAAAATGGACAATGCTTAATCTGTAAGGAACTATTCAAACAATTTACTGAAAAAACTATCCTGCAGAGTTATCACTTCCAATTGTTCATGTCTGAATGACTAAAGCACACAAAGAAAAACAGACCACACGACAGATAAGAGAGGATGAAAGCACATAGTGAGAATGTTGAGGATGAAACAACCTTGTTAGTACTTTTTGTATCTGATAGTTGTTCATCAATGCCCTCTATCTGATATTCCAAAGGCGTATTTGTTTTTGTTTCATTCGATACATCAATTTCTCGGCCTGAATAAATAAGGTTAACAGGTGAAGGGCATCTTGTTCCTGATCGATTTTCATTTGATGGCTTTCTTGTAACATCTTCCTTCAACTCAGCATCTGAAACAGTTCTCAGACTTTTGCATACTCTCCGCATAGTCGCAGATATGCTGTCAAGTAAGAGCTGTTGTTCTCCACCACCTTTGCACAAGACTGGAAGAAAAAACTCAAGCACATAGTCATCATTTTTGGTGTATGTGCTCTGCAGCCTAATTGCAACAGCAGCATGAAGACCAAATTTACGGGCATGATTGACAAGTGGATAAGCGTGCATATCATAATCCTTCACATCAGATGAGAAGAAGGGATTATTTGATAAATATGCATTTCCAGCGACACCTTGTCCTTTCTCAAGGGGGTGTTCAGCACAGACTTGGACAAAATCACGCATTCTCGTGTCATTGACATAACATGCAGATTCCTCTATGCAAAGCACTTCTTTGTTCCTTTTACCAAAATTTGCACCATATTCTACTGACACAAGCACATCTCTTTTGGAGCAAACTGGAATCCATGCAAGTGCCAAAGGTAGCAAGTGTGCTTGACAAACAGCTTGCAGAACATCGAATATTTCCATCAATGCTAATTTCTGGTCCCTTGAATAGCTCTGCAAGATCAAGTAAAGCAAGAAAATGTTGAATTAATGAGCTCTCCATGTGCACTGACTGTGTAGTAGATTGGTACCTGAGAATGTCTCCATGCATTGACAGTGCTTAACTGAACAGACTGCAAGATTACAATGTCACTATTAAGCTCAGAGGCTAATTCAATCATGAAATGAACTTTATAACAAAATGTTCTAGAACAAATTACAACCATATATGCACGCTCGGATGGAAATAATTATGAGCACCCTCAAGTGAAAAAAAGTAGCCATAGCAACTCTACGGTGAAAAAACAAGCCATAACTCTGGAGAGTTTTAAGCATATTTGAGCAAAAGTCAAACCTTGTACCATGCATAGAAATTAGAATAGAAACTAATAATATTGGTGATAAGAGCAAATAATAATTGATATTAACTATATAAATAACTCAAAAATAAAGCTAAATGTCTCATAGCTGAACCATCCACATAATAAAAGAAAGCATTTTAAGTAATCTAGTTGATGAGTGCACAGAGCACACCAATAGTTCGGATGTACCAACTACCAAGTAAAACTAATTCCTGATTAGACAAACTTGGTACCTATTTATGCTTCCAATCATTCTTCTTGCTCCAGTACATGATATTGATCCGACTTAGTGAAACACATAGATTTGGAATGAGAAACTGGAAGGCAAACATATGACCTACAGTACTTAATTCTTTGAAGAGGTACTTAGCAGTATTGCATTGCAATTGGGCGTAACGTTGGGCAGCACAAAGGAGGAATAATGGGTTATTGAAGGCCTGGAACAACCAAAGTGTGAAATGTATATTGGTAGCATCAAATCCAAGGACAAAGAGCAGACTAGGGAGGGATCAGTACAGGAGAGTGCTGATTAATCCTCCTAGGATAGTACAAACCTTGTATCCTCAAAGACGAGGAAACTATAGATTATTTTTTCTCGAGATAGAAAATACCTTTATGGTCTCTTTAAGAAAAAGACCAGATGTAGTCTGTGTGAAACCAAGGGTAGGAGAAATAGGAATTCACCCGAAGTTAATCATTTGAAAGGCCTCATCAGAAATTATAGAACTCTACAAATTTAGTCGCAGGAGAAAAAAAATAAGTTTCTGGTTAAGAGAGCTCAAGAACAAGGTATTCTAAGTCGCTTCACGTGATATTTATGTAATGAGTCCTTGGAAATTTTACAATATGCTGATGACACTATTTTCTCATTGGATGATAGTTTGTTAGAGTCTAGAAATGTGATATTTATCATTTGTTTGTTTGAGCAAAACAGTGTATTAAGATTAATTCTCATCAGAGTGCAGTGTATTGTTTTACAGAGGCGAAAACTACAGGATGATTATGCTCTGACTTTCACCTGTCAGAAGGGAATATTGCCATTTAAATATTTGGGTATCCCCATTCATAACAAAAGAAATAAAGGAACAGTGGTTTGAAAGGGGTAGAGGAAAAGGTTGAAAAGAAATTAAACAATTAGCAGGGTAAGAAGTTGCCAATTGGTGGCAGGTTAGTTTTACTTGATTCATGTATTAGTAATGTTCCTTCTTATATGATTTCACTTTTTAGCATTCTGAAAGGTGTGTTGAAGGTCCCTTGCAAAAAAAAATGATGTTTTTAGATCTAGGCTTTTATGGCAAGAAGATACAAGAAATTACCGTATTGTAAAGTAGCCAGTGGTTTGTCACCAAAAAACATAATGTGGACTAGGCATACTTGATTTATACCTCATGAATATCTGCCTTTTATCGAAGTGGCTATGGAAATTGGAGAACCATGGAGGACCTTGGCAGGAATTACTAAGGTCTAAGCATTCAGGCAAAAATTCCTCCATAGCTATTGAAACCAAAACAGTCAGATTCAAATTTCTGCGCAGGATTGATAGTTGTCAAAGACATTTTGTTATCATTCTGCAATAAAATAATTGGTAACAGAGAACATGCACATTTCTCGGATGATGTTTGGCTGGGAGATAGCTCTTTGGCAAAATAGTTTACTAGGCTTTATGATCTCACTTTTAGTCAAAAAGTTTCAGTGGCTAAAGTTTTTGAGGTGTTAGCCATTGCATTCATTTCAGAAGGAGATCTTGTAGATGGAACTGTGAAATTACGGCTACTTAAAGCAAGATGTGGATACATATGCATCTACTGATGCTCTAGAAAGACAAAAGGAGATTAACAAAAGCTATGTATATGGCCGTCTTTATTCTTTACATCTGCTGGGAGACTAAGCAACCAGCCTTAGAGGAAAAAAAAAACTCGTGGCTGCTGTGCAGAAATATTTTGACTAAAGATAACTCATGTTAGAAGAGTTCCCAGAATTGCAAGTTCGGTGAGTGTCCTGAGAAACATTTTGAAAATGTGTGCTAGCAAAGTTCATGGTCAGTTGAGCATACATCATGCTAGATCACCTACCTCAATTGGGGATATTTGGGATTGGATGGATTGCCCGGTTTCCAAATTCCAACTAGTTCTGGATGATTGGGGGTGGCTTGTGTTTGTGGGTGATATAAAGGACAAGAAACTCAGCTTGTCTTCCCGACTGACCCTACCAAGATCATGTATGAAATTCATTACTGTTGATTTCTGGGCTATTTTGTAGAAAAAAAATAGTGCGCAGAGCTGTAAGCGGGATCAGAGAAAGTAAGTACCTAGGCATTGACTGAAATTGTGTTTGTAAGGTGTCCATCTGATGTTAGTCATTCTTTCTGTGCTGTGTGTTCAAGTCATGTGTGCCCTTTGATGAAAAGAGATATCACTCTGTTAGACCGTCTAACACAATATCATTTTAATTTCCTGCATGAATTCTTATTTCCTGATCATTTCTATTAATAGAAAAAAGGGGCGATGAATGGTGAAGAAATGGTTTCAGTAGTAACAAAAAAATTCCCATCAGAAAAACTGAATCTGCTTAGTTCGTCAGCATGAATCAACAGAAAGAATTGTTCCAACTTTCAAAAGCAAAACCTGTGTCTATCTAACAAAAGTTATTTATTCCATACAAGAAGTTAGATAAAAAGGTAGTTGCAAAATCTGTACATATCTAACAGCACGACTTCATAAGGTCTAGAACAACTTTCAGAGCTATCACTACTCACTAGAGCTATCAGCCTATCAGTGACTTATAGATATGCTTATACCACATAGGCTTGCTATGGATGTTTTGAAGACAAACAAGGACCTCAAGTTGATCAAGGTAAGCAAATTATTCAAATTTCCCTATATGAAACAAATGAAAAATGTTGAAACATTTAATTTGAATGTTTATCATGCGTTACTCTGAAGGCATAGTGAAAATGGATAAAAACAAATTATGGGAACAGTTCAATTCTGAAAAGGAGAACAATTTATAGCAAGGCAAATACAAGTACTAACCTGCAGAGCATTCGAAACATTGACCATCTCTAAGCAAAAGTTATCCTTCTCTCGTGTCATTACTACTTCTAACACTGCACAGCAAGACCCACCACTTGAGTTGAAAACCGGCATCGCAAGGGATCCACGGACCTCGTGGCGCCTAGCATAATCAACCCTCAAATACTCCGAGCCATGATAGTACATCACATTCGACGTCCACTCTGGCATGCCGGACATGAAAACCCGGCCGGGCAATCCGGGGAACAGACCGGGTCCTTCTTCAGCCGAGAATGTGAACTGCCTGGAGACTTCCCTGTATCCCGTAAGCTTCTGATCGAGCAAGAACGGCTGGTCAGAGGTAGTCAGCACATGCTGCTCCCCATTCCTCACAGGCATCCAGACCTGCACAAGGATCGCTTCGCCACCCGACGCCTCTTTGAGCATCGCAAGCGCCCTGAGCATCCTCTCCGTCAGTGTGACGCCGTCGAACGGCTTCGGGACAGAGCCAATTCCCGCGGCCACCGGCTCACCTGAAGCTAATCCGGCGGCGCAATCACCTCTTCTTGTTGTTGTACCCTCCTTAGTGATGGAAACATCAGAATCATCTTGCCTAGAATTAGAACCCACAGGAGTCGAGACGTGCAGCAATCGTTCTTGTGATGGTGGGAAACAGGTAAGAGCTGAGAAGATGCTGTCGGCTACCGATGAACCCGCGACGAGGTCGGTGTAGCTGTCGAGGCCATCGAGCGCTGATGACAGCATGAGCATGTCCATGTCCGGCACCGGATCCCCATCCGGCGTCCCACCTCCATCCATCTTCTCAATCCTCACAGCTTAATTACACTCTTCCTCAGCACCCAAAATAAATAAAAAAAATCAAAACTTCTTTTGCCCAAACTACGACGAGGCGCTGCACCACGATCAAAGAAACCGGATCAAAATAGGTAATTTGGAGGGGAGGGGGGAAGGGAAGAAATCTCCGATCAACGCCATACCGGAGGAGGGGAAAGCGGATACCTTCAGCTTCGATTGGAGCCCAGATGGAGGTCGGCTCTCTCCTCTGCTCTGCTCTGCTCGCCGGCCGGCCGCTCGCCGCCGGCGGTGAGGAGGAGGAGGAGGAGGAGAAAAGGGAATGGAATAGGGAGGAGTTGACGGTACGGGTGAGAGGAGATATTGGGAGGGGGGGCATTTTCGTCATTTGCCATTCTCTCAGCTTTTCATGTTTCAGCTTGTTTTTGTTGGTTTGAAATTTGGAAAGTTTTTCTTTTCCAAGACAGAAATTGGAGCTTTTAGAGGGAGAATTGATCCTTTGCGTTACTGTCAAATCTATGCCCATCGAAAAGGAGTATAGCTTTGAAAACAATAGAGGGCAGCTACACAACGGGATCTATTGCTACGGGATATTTTAAGTGACTACTCCCTTTCCTTTCCTCTAGGTAGATTCCACGTGGTGAACGTGTGCTCCCTCCTGGTACCCAGCACAGCACAGGCTGGTACCTAATAGGCTAATCCTGATACCTAGTATACCTGGTACCTGATACCTGGTACCTAGTATCTGGTGGTGTGTGCTACCTGGTATCTGGTACTTATGGAATTGGAGAGATTCAAGAGGATGGGACAGGGGAATCGATACTATCCATATAAGCCGGAGAAAAAAATCAGCTAAGGAAATCATCAAGCAAAAAAAAGAGAAAAACACACATGAGAAAGGGGTGCAAGCGACGGTGAAGCATTGCCGACGTGGGGGTGGAGGAATTGGCCAAAGTGGAATGGAGTGCGAGGGGTACCTGCAGGTATCTAAGGAATGGATGCGAGCAGCGGCGCAACACCGCCGGCGTGGGGAGGCAGTTGGACGGAGGGGAGCAGCGGCGATGCAGCGCTGTCGCGTGGGGTGGAGGGACGGAGGAGCTCGCGGTCCTCGTCAGTGGCCGCGGCGGCGTGAGAGCTCGCACGCCGCTTCACCGCTATGCCGCGCCGCGCGTTCCTGAGCCGGCGGGAGCAGCTCCGCATGGTGATGTCTTCCCTAGTGCTGGCGAAGGAGAGAGGGCCGAGCATCCTCCACGCCCAACATGCCACCCCGTGCAACTAACCGCCATCGTTGTCTCTGTGCTCATGAGGTCGTCTCTGTGCTCATGAGGGTGGTAGTCAAAGAGAGAGAGGGAGAGATGGAAGGGGAAGAGACAAATAAGAGGATAAGATGCTTAGATATTTAGTGGTAGTAGTTATCCCGTGTGTACGGGATACTGTTAAGTAGTTTTTCAGCTAAATCCATCATGAAATTTAATTTCTAAATTACTTCTTTTCCCAACCAATCACAATTTAAATATCATTTCATTTTCCTATTGATTATGATTTCAATATTATTTTTTGTATAATTAAGACATGTTGTCGAATCCAGTTGATATACTCTTAAAATTTAAAAGTCTACGAAGTGAGTATAGCTCAACTGGGTATGTTCCTAGACTTGATATGGGTGCTCATATTTACGGCTACTTATTCTTTCAGTGGTAGGCGACGTACCGTTGACGGCGAGCCACCCATGGTAATTTCGTCAATCTCAAGATATGCCGGCTCAATCTCATATGGGTTCATAGGGGTATAAATATGGCCATCTTATTTGGAAAAAAAATAAAGATTTAAGTACAGTAGTAGTCCCCAAACTTATGTTGTATGTCATCTGGGTCTCTTAACTCTTAAAATGCATTTGTGTGCCTAAACTTATCGGTCATTTTGGTATCTCTCATCTTAACATTAGGTTTGAGTTACATTATTAAACCGCAATGCATATATAATGTGTCTCTTTAACTTATAAAACCAATAACCCAAGATATCAAGATAGGATAGTATTAGGTTCACTTTTGGCTGACATGAAGAGTTGACTATGGTCAACCCGGCTAAGTCAGTGTGGGACCCAAATGGAGAGAGAAGAGAAAGATGAGTTGGCTGCTGATATATGGGCCTCATGTAGATCCAATGCTCACTCAGCCAGGGTCAGTGGCGGTGCCAGAGATATCGTGAAGCCTGAGCGATTACTAACGTTTTTTAGTAATCAACTAATATTTTCAACATCAAAGGTTATATACACTGAAGACATCAGCGCGTAGCTCGGGCGGCCGCTCGACCTGCCCGAGAGCTAGCTCCACTGCTGACCAGGGTGACTGTGGTTAACTCATCATGTCAGTTAAGATCGAGCACTATACTGCTCTTAGTCCTAGGGTATACTCGGTTTTGCAAGATATACATTATACCTGGTATTGCAGTTCAACAGTGTAATTCAAACTCGACGTTAAGATGAGGGATCCTGAGTAAACTTATCCCATTTGAGAATAGAGACAGTGTCTCGAAAATTCACTTCAACTGAGGGAGTCCAAGGGAGTATTGGAATGCTTTTATTGGGCCGTGTCCGTGATTATACATAGTTTAGGCCCATGGGCCGATCCACGGTGTTTAACCATCTTGGACGACTCACAACTGTGAGAATATCTTTTGAGCGGGGAGAAGGAGAACAATACACTCAAGCTTTTATTTCTCTCGACACACATGTATATGGGAGTTCCATCTAAAGGTTAAGGAATCGAAGAGAGAAGCAAGCAAATAATTTAGGGGTTCACAGACCCTGAAATGGTGGACTCTCTCTAGCATGCATTAGGCTGTGTTCGCATCTACCGGATAGGAACTCATCCCCTCTGCACGGTAAACGGAGCGATCCATTAGCGCGTAATTAATTAAGTATTAACTATTTTTTAAAAAATGAATTAATTTGATTTTTTAAAGCAACTTTCATATAGAAACTTTTTGAAAAAACGCGTTGTTTGGCAGTTTGAAAAACGTGCACGCGGAAAACGAGGAAGATGGGTTGGAAAAAGGGGATGCCGAACACAGACGAAGCCCTGAAATGATGGACTCTCTGTCATTAGTATATGAACGACCTTAGCCAACCAGACTCAAGTGTTCCCTTTTCTTCCTTTTGGAGCTATACCGAGAAATTAATACTAGGTTCATGAACGTCCGGAAAATTCCATGGCTCTGTGCTTAAGCAGGACTTAAATTTAAGTTAGTTTGCAAGTTGAAACGATGAAACACTAAATTAACTGATCCGTACATAACAAACATAAAAATGAAAGGCGAAAAAAAAATACTGTAAAACAAACTCTAACTGTGCTGATACAACGTCAAACTGTGCTTACTTTCTGACCCCCCCCCCCCCAAAAAAAAAAAAGGAAAAAGAAAGTTGAGTATGCTTGAAAGAGACATCGCCCGCAATCTCTTTTCCATCATGTACGATATATGCAATTTGTATACAACAGAATTCGTGCAAGTTGTGGCTAATTCTCTTGTGCAAAATCTATATACTAAAGTGTATATACATGTTCAACGAATTGTGCGCAAATTACCATGAAAACGATGTGCAATAAACTTTGAAGAAGACATTTTTGGGAAGTATATGTCGCATGGTCGACCTATCTCAACATATATGTACAATATCTTAACTATTATCTTCTTGTTTTTCCTTCCACCCATTGTCGCGAGACAATATCTTACCTAGCATTATTTTTTCGAATTGGGATATAGGTTTTTTGGATAAAGCCAATCTGCTGCAAATATATTCATATATCTTCAGACGAAGACGGTCACTGGAAAATACGTACAATATACACTTTTTCTCTACGATAGAAAACCGATATATATGGTGCTCAATTAATTCCTTCCACACATTCAAATTCATCGATCTCAAGCTAGCGATCGAGGATATATACGCATTCTGATCAAGAGACAACATTATCTGGCTTTCATCGAACAAATTCTCAGTGCAGGGGAACTGAATTCTAATTTTCAGTGGTGCGTATGAGCAGTTGGATATGCCCTCTTGTAAAATCTCAAAAATGATACGACGACACACGTAGATGAGCCTGCCTAGCTAGAAAATGGTCCAAATTCAAGCGAAGACACGAGTATTTCTCCATTCAGTTAATTAATTAGTACATAAGGTCTTGTATAACAGCCATAAAGAAAACGTGACACATGAGCTGAATTCTAGAAGAAGGGTGTGGTGGTCCTTGAGACTCTACCCTTCAAATCAATGTGCGAACTAAAAAAACAGAGAATGCGTACTTGATATTATGCCGATGTCCTAATTAAATTGCAATAGAAAATAGATGATGTTTTTCTTTAGCCAACCAAGTCTCACGTTCTATAAGTCGCTTTGACTTTTTTTTAAAATTCAATCTTAAAAATATTTGATAAAGTTTGTAGAAAAAACACATTTCTAACACAAAACAAACATATTATCAAAATATATTGTTATATTTAATTAAACCAGTGGCGATTCCATGAATTTTTATTGGGTGGTCCTACCCCATTCTTCAAAATTGCATAATGTCAAAATAACATCTATTTTGTCAAAATTTTCATCAGATTTGAAGGACAGGGTACTCCTATGCCAAAATGGAGGGTGGTCCAAGGGCCACCCTCAAAACCTCTAGAATCGCCACTTAATTAAATTAAACTAGTTTGGTATGATAAATATTGTTAAATTTCTTGAAAGGACCTTGATGTCGCCTAGAGGGGGGCTGAATAGGCGTTCCTAAAAATTATCACAACTTCATAGAATATTAGAGTGATGATAACTTTTGATTCAAATCGAAACTTCCGGTATGGGATTGGAAGTTCCGGTCTCAATCGAAAAGTTCGGCGGATAACGGAATAAACACTAGCTATGAACTTGTAGCTCAAACAAACAAAATGTATATGAATCAAAAGGTGACAAATAAGGTATCTAAGCAAGATATAAGGTCACCAACTAAATCAAATAAGCATGCAAGTAGATCGGGTAAAAACAAGCTCAAGCACAATATAAGAGAATGCAAGAACGGGCAAACCAAGAGGGGAGACGCGCGATTTGTTTCCCGAAGTTCGGATCCACGGATCCTACGTCTCTGTTGAGGAGCCACAAGGGCCGGGCCTATTTCAACCCTTTCCTCACGAGGTTGCACAAATGCACTCCTCGGTTTCACTCTTGATTTCTTCCCTTGCGGAGGCGAAATCAAAGCCTTCACAAACTTTGCGTGGCACACCACAACCTTGGGTGCTCACCGGCAACGCCTAGCCGTCTAGGAGACCTTAGTCCCCAAGAGTAACAAACACAATCAAAGAT